TCAATTTTCTCAAATGCAATAAATTCACATACACTGTACTGTTAGTACTGTACATGTTTATGAAATTCAGTAGGTAGATGGATTCTGTTACTCAGTTAAGGTTGGTCATGGGACAATTACTGGTTTGCAACATAAACATATTATTTAACCTGCTGTAGTTTTATGGGGTACAGTAATACATTTGGTTCATCAATTTCCAACAGAGTACAAAACATACTCTTTTAACCTCCCACTCACCCTCCCTGCCACCCCCCCCCCCAAAAGGACTACATTAGAAAATGGCTGTTGTCATTTTGATATAAAATATTGTTTGAAAGTTTGCATGGCAAAGTAATAATTTATTATTAATGCTTGCAGTACACCACATAGGTAGTTCTCAAAAGATCTGTTGAGATTTGATTTTGATATAATAATTTTTTTTTTCATAAAAGAGTGCTGTAACACTAACTCCTCACCCTAGTGTAAGTTTTGAAAATTTAAACAAATGGATGACCCCTACTTAAGTTACTTCCATACTTTTTGTAATGGTTTGATGTATGTCTATAAATTATTATTATCTCCATTGAATTGAGACCAGACAAATTCATGTGATTAACAATTAAAACATGTCAATTGTCAAAATCCATTAAGTTGTTTACTGTGGTAATCATTTATTTCAAGGCCAAGACAAATTATCAATATGTTGATGTTGTTTGTCTGGTGTTTACAGATACTCATTCTTTGTCCTCTGCAAGGAAATAAACAAATGAATAATGGATCCCTCACAAGCTACAACTGAAGCAAAAAAGGGTGAATCTTAAACCCTGTCCAACATGTGACATGCCTAAATATGGTCATGATGACATCACATCATGACCATATATAGGCACATCATGACTAAATATGGTCATGATGACATGACATCATGACCATATATAGGCACATCATGCCTAAATATGGTCATGATGACATCACATCATGACCATGGTCAATGAAAATTTTGTAGTCTAGACAGCTTTATACATCAATAATTGAAATAGCTGAGAAAGGCCCTACTACTATGTAAGGGCCCTGGGCCTCCCGGGCCTCCCGGGCCCTAGCCTAGAGGTGGTTATCTTACCCCATCCTCTCTCCCCCCCCTCCAATCTTTGGGGTTCTTGAGGGTGCTTCAGGCTGAATATCACAGAGTTCAATCTTCTAATCAAAAACTATTCAAACCTAACTAAATACTATTGTTATATCTTTTATTTTTATTGTTATCTTTTTTTCTTTTATGAGATATATTTTGTTAACTTGAAAGGTGTATTATTTGTCTTGCAGGTAGCAGAACTTAACTCCAGTTCATTGTTATTAAAGAGTAAAATACAGTCACTGATGCCGCAACAACAAACGGCTGCAGACGGCCCTCAGTTACAGAAGGTACCTACATTTAGTATTGCTTTTGGGGATGGTGTCATGGTGATTGCTCACCTACGTTAGTTTCAGTAGATGTGGCTGTCTATGATAGACAAAGTAGTTTGAAATCTCATTTGAGGCTACTTTATATTTAAAATAATTTCGCTCATAATTTAGACATTTAATATATAATTATGTGGTTACTTGTTACTTTTATAGCACTTATTCCTTGCAGTTACAAAGCACTAACTACCCTCCACTATATAATGAATATTTCCCTCAAGTATAGCCCATCCCAAGTAAAACCAACAGAATATGCTTTCATGAGTCATAGACCAAAGTAAATCAGTGGAAATAAGGGATAAACAGGTTAAAATTAAATGAGTGCAAAAATGACCAAACCCCTAACATGCCCAAAACTTAATTGAAAAGAGAGGTTTAAGACATGCCTTAAACTAGCCTGGGTTCCAGGCCCTAATTTTGGGTTACTCACTATTTATTGCACTTACAGCGTGCAATACCTAATTTATATGGCGTCCCATACTTGATTTTTTTTTTTTTTTTTTTTTTTTTCGGATTAGGGCCTGGGAAAACACTGCCTAATCATTCATGCGTACGATTCAACACATCAAATTCGATGTTTGATATATCGTATGCATGACTGACTTCATAAATCATATGATTGGCTTACTTCATGCATATTAATAAATCTTAGTAATTTTCAAATTGAAGATATGCGGTGTCTCAAAGGCTAAGCTAGGCAGCTACCTACTTGAATTTATTTAGTTAGTAAATTAGTTCTTGGCTTGCTGAACAACGTAATGGTCTGATAACCATAGTAGTAAAGTTACAGATAAACCTGTTCACCACTAAGCTACACAGATTTAGGCCTAGGGCCTGTAGAACATTGTTAAAAAGGTACTGTATTATCAAGAACTTAAAAGTAGGCCCAGGCCTCTCTCTACTACTAGTACTAGACTCTAGAGGCCTAGTAGGCCATCCTCCTGGAAAGTTGTGCTGTACGTTTGTAATATGACAGCAGATCAGCATTGTAAAAACATGTCCAAACCATTTAGTGGCAAACAAGATATATAAATGTCATTAAAATTATATATCATTTGCATCACTTTTCCTTGTTACAATGTTTTGAATACATGTTCATTATGAGACTTAATGAAAAAAACATACTTTGCTCTAACACAATAACCTTCATTCAGCAACACCTGTATTATGTAGAACATTGGTAATTGCTACAGGTTGTTGCTGGCTTGGGCAGTGAGGTAGAGGAGCTGAAAGGCACAGTACAAGATGTCCAGAGTAGTCAGAAACATCAACAGCAGGAGTTTCAGTCACTAAGCAAGAACGTGGCAGATCTCACGGTAGGATGCCCAGACAAGTTATCCAAATCACTCAGACAATACACAGTCTCCTAAACAATTACGGCATTCATTAGTATTACTGTTGGGAATGGAGCTGTAGATTGGTGGTTAAGATGCTTGCCTTCCAATCCTAAGGTCATGGGTTCAACTCCTTTCCCTAAGCCTGTTAAAGAGAATATATTATGTAGAGCATTTTGTCTGTATGTATGGTTGGCTTGAAATTGATGGCAAAGTAAGAGAGTGATTAAATGTTTTGCTACTGGCATCCTTGGGCCTTGATCTTAAATAATAGGGATAATAATACACTCATGGTTCAAAATTCATAATTCACTTTATTGCAATCATATAACAGATTGGATAGTACAAAATATTCAAATAGAAATGAAACATAAATGTACACAACAAACCAATAAGCAGAAATTCAATGAAGAATACACCTTTTGTCATTTGATAGATATAAATCCATGGTATTTTTAAAATAAATATTTTGGTACATATTTCCATTAATAAGATACTACATTCTTAACATTTGAGTCTTCACACACTGGGTCATAAGTAGCACAATAGCATGGTTCATTGTTTAAATGTATAACAAGCACAACATATTATATTAATATGTTTACAGTGTTCTTACCACTCATACACACACATTACATGCATGTTTTTGTATTGTAAATAATTATTTGGTCACATTCATTGATGCCTTGCATGCTTGCTGAATGTTTTATTATAAAATATTAAGTAAGGCAATCAATACATTTTTGTTATTGGTGAGGGAAGATGCAAAACCCAGAGGATTTAGATTGTAAATTATAAAGCAGGTTAATTAATAATGATAAGTCATTCTTGTACAGTCAATAACATAATTAAATGTATCTTCTTCTAAAGTACTTGGCTAGGTAAGAATTAAAACGTAATAGTTGAAATACAAGTACTGTGCTTTGATAACCTCTTACAACTCAGATGGGGATGTACTTGTAAGGCTGTTGTTGAAGGAGGTCCGTCATGGAAATCTAAAGCTTCACAACATTCAACTGCATGGTATACCAGTGTCCTAGAATAAATCAAATTCCCACCTCCTGAAGAATTTATCCTCAATTCATGAAAAAACAAGTTCTTGTAATCACGAAAGCTCCAATGGGGAAAGTATAAAAGAGGCAGTAGAGTATATTGGCCCTAATGGCCGGCCATACAAAAAAAATCTATTAATCAACCAAGTGTTTCTAGTGGCCCCAACGGCCACCCATACAAAAAATATCTATTAATTATTCAATTAGCAGGGTAACTCCTAGATCTCCTCATCTGAGCTAAAAATAGCTATGAAATGAGTTTGATGTACAGTGTACTATATTAACTAATAATTATTAAATGATACAGTAAGCCACACTGACAAGCCCTAGAATGTTTTTTTTTTTTAAATTTCACTCTTCATACATTAAATGACCCTGAGTATCACAAATGACCCATTGATTACATCCCTAGGTTAATGAAACATTAGTGAACCTGTCAACAGTGTGGGTAAGATGTCCAATTGATAACTTGCCATTATTATATTGTGCAAATTATGTGCTTTTACTGCATGCTTTCCTCTGTGTGTTTGGTTCATGTGTTAGCATGTTGCATGTGGATTCTGTTACGGAAAATTCCATTATAGCTAATTAATTATTCAGATAATTTAGATGATGATTGGCAGGCTTTTGTTTAAGTTTGTTTAAATAATAAAGTTTTACCTTTTCTTTTTATTTATACATTTTTAGTTTGATTAATGTTTATGTTCTTTTATTTTTATATTAATTTGTAGTTTTGGATTATTTATTACTTGTCATTTTTTTCTTACAATTGTTAATTTACTTATTTTAGTTATTTGTAATATAAGAATTGTGGAGGTGGTTTGACTCAGTGGCAATGTTTTGGTTTCCCAACCTTGAGGTCTGGGTTTCAATCCTTTGTTGTGCATTTGGCTTGTGTCCCTGAGCAAGGCACTTTATCTACACTGCTTCAGTCTACCCAGCTGTATCAATGGGTTCCAGCAAATTGCTGGGAGTACCATGCGATGGACCAGCATCCCACCAGGGGGAGCATCACGCTCTCATCCGCTTCACGCTACTTGAAACTGGCCTCCAGATCATGTGAGCCTTGTGGTTCAGCAAGGTTTTCCTTTTTTTACTACATGTAATATAAGAACTTTCTAAAGCCTTTATGCTATTCTTTTTACTGTACATGCTTTGTTTCTTTGGAATATGCATGCTTCCACTGGTGCCGGGCCCCACCCAGCATGTGCATTTGCTTCTGTCACTCAAAGTTCACACTTTAAATAACAACAATCCTACATTTTTCCATCACTTTGTTTCAATTATTGATTTAAGATCTGTTTGCTGTAAAATCTTGATAACGCTTTAATAAAATTTAAAAATTTTGATGCACTGTACAGTGTTTCTACTATGTATCCTAATTTGAAGGTCGGAACAAAGTATAGGGAAACTAGAGCTCTTTTCACACTATCATATTGTTTGTGACAAATGATGTGCCCATATATATGGGCATGATGATGTCATATCACACCCAAATGTAGGCATATCACTGTTTTTTTCACTTAAAATTTGATAGTGTAGACGTAGCTTTATATTTATGCATCTGTTAATTGGCAGGAAAAAGTTTTTCTTGTCCTAATTTTCAATTGAGAGTAAACAAATATAAATTAGGCAATTTAAATATATGGATTAATGTGTAATTATAAAAATGATTTTATTATGTAGACGACCGTATCCAACATGGATCTGAGTAGGAAGCCTAACACATCAGCTCAGGCACCACCTCAAGAGGTACCTACTACACTAGCTCCTCCTGCCTCTGAGAATATGATCCCAGCCGCTACTACTAGTACCCAACAAGCTATTGGTAACACTGTGGTTACATTGTATTTAGAACAGGTTAGTATGAAACTGGTTGTTTAGGTAATTTGATACTACCTATCTACACTATAGTGAGTGACCACCTTATATTGCTACAAACCATCCAAAATGTTATAATAATTTTGTCTCTAGCATTAATCATTTAATCGTTTAGAACCTTGTAATTGAAAGACAAATATTAAGATTGAGATCCTGATTTGCAACAGTAGTGGGAATTTCCCTCAATTGGACAAGCATAATTCCCCTGTAATCTGATGCCACGACGAGTTCCGACCGATTAAAAATAAGTTGCCGATCCAAAGAAAGGTATTGCCAGTCCATAATATTGTGGTCTAAAAGCACACATAAAATCTCTTCCCATGAACCCCACCAAGTTTTTATTCTGGAACTCTGCCCAAGGTCCTAGGCAACTACTAGGTTCAGGCCCCTGTCGGCATATATCTTGATCCACCACTGACTCACAACCACTGAAACTTTGTCATGCCTAAAGAATTGGGAAAGTTATGGTCACAACATTATTACCGACTGACAAAACACTATCCTTGCCATACACCAACCTGGTACTTTTGAGTCTAAGTTTTGGAGATTGGTTTTGGGAAGATTCATGTTTATGTTGTATGGTTGATAGAATACCTAACAACTGAATAAATAACACATTCTTCTGTGCAGGAAATTAAGAAGTTGTCAGACACTATAGGGGTGATGAATGCATCATTGTTTAAGGTTGAGCAGCAGCAAACAAACTTTTCAAAGAGGTTGCAAAATGTCGAGCTTCTATCGGATAATATGCCATCAGGCTTGCAGGTTGCGGACAACAGCTCAGTGTCTTTGGTAGACCTTATGAAACTTCAGTCAGATGTTAACTCATTGGTAAGGAGAAAATGATATTGAAAACTAGTCAAGAGAGAAAAGACAAAAATTCGCTTTAATCACACTGTCTGCATGCTTGTGGCTGTGTGACACACCTCATAAAATTGCATTTTGATCTATCTTACTGTATTTCAGCTGTTTTTAATAACTTCAAATAAATAATAACTATATAAAATTATGTATGTTATTTTTTATATTAGAATGAAAATTATTAAAATATTATTGAAATGCTTTATAAATCTGATATGATAATCAGATTTAAACTTGTACCAACAAATATTATTGAAATGCTTTAAATCTGATATGATCACACATTTAAACTTGTACTAACTTTACTCAAATACTAATTTGTGTTTCCATGGTAACTAGATGGCCCATACTGAAAACATAAGTATTGGAACTAGTGATATTGATCCCCGTGACATCTTGACGATCCGAGCACAAATAGCAGACCTCCAATTAACAGTCAACACTTTAACAGACAAGATACACCAGGTATGTTTATATTTTATTGAGTTTGTTAGTGATGAGTGGTGACATTATTCTGATGCTAATTTTGTTGTTGATATTTCTGTTTAATTTGTAGTAGCACACGGCTCAGTTGTTGGTCATTTACTTTCATCCATATATGACAGCCAACAAGTTCTTTCAAAAGTCTAGCTTTTCAGTCTCCACCCACAGTTTGTGTAACTGATTACTGATTGTTGAATTTGGCCTACTGTGTATGCTTTGCCCAGAAAAGATATTGGCATGCGATATATACAAATAATAAATGTTTATGAGTACAATGGGAAGAATATTTTCATTCTTAGAAAGATTGCCTGTTCCATTGTTGAGTGGAACAGTCAGTCCTTCAACGAATGAAAATATTCTTTCCATTGCACAAATAAAAACATTCATTATTTGTATATTTTCGCAAAAGAAAGTGCACAAATGGAAATAAATTTCCATGATGAGTGACGAAATGGGGTAAATAACCAAAGTCACGTTGATACGAAATCCAACAATCAAATGACAGGGATCTGTTCAGGTGTGTTATAAAATATTATAATAATTTAATGCGGATTGTATTCATGTTTTTTCTCTCTGCTAGCTCACTACTCCTAGTCTTAATAACAACCTTTTGAACATGAACACAACCCTGGGAATACAGACAGTCATGGCGAGCTCGCTTCAAAAGTTCAAAGACGAGAATATAGAGAACCTTAACAACGTCAAATTTACTCTTGGCCAACTACAACTCCAGACAGATGAACAAGCAGCAGCTATAAGGCAGTTAGAAGAGCAATTGGAAGACATGCATCATGTTATTGTGGAGCTATCAAACACAAGCAAACAAAGCAAGTCTAGATATTATAAAGACCTGTCCAGACAATCAAATTTTCTTTGACAAAAAAAAAATGTTGTATGCCCATATATGGTCATGATGTGCCTATATATGGTCTTGATGTGATGTCATCATGACCATATTTAGGCATGTCACATGTTTTTGTCAAATAAAATTTGATAGATGGGACAGGCCTTAAAGCATGTTGTTGCTTGGTGAAAAAAAAATTTAAGGCTATCAATCAACTTACCAATCAATAAGCATTCTTCCATACAGGTGTCCCTCCAATTAAAGGCCGCTTTTAAGACCAGGTTTTCATGGTCTTTAGCAGCTTTGGTTTAATAAGAAAAATCATTTTATAAAAATAAAAAATATACATTTCTTTGGGCTGCAAAAAGGTGGTTTTTAATTAGAGTGGTCTTTAATTAGAAGGAGACCTGTATTTACTCTAAATTTACATTGGTTTGATATGGAAAATGGACTTATAGAAAGTCTAAGTAATGAGGCCAAAAGAGAAATTTTAAAATCAAGGTCTTTTTTGGTTGGCTTTTTTAAACTGTATGTCTGTGCTAAAATCCAGATTGTATTGCCAGCCATCTCTTAATAAAGTGGTAATTGCAGGGCTAAGATAAATAAATGGTTAAGTCAAAAAATATATTAAATAAAGCTTGGAAAGGAGTATTTTGAGATCTTCCTGGGTAAAACAATATACAGTATATATATTTTCCAAAAACAATTTCCTAACTTTGCAGATGGACAATAAAAATAATAATAGTTTAATCCTGATTGCTTTACATTGGAAATAAAGATCGGTAATATAATTTAAAAATGCGTTATGAGTAGTTTTTTTGAATGTGTTAATGTTAGTTGCATGTCAATAAATGGCCCATGGGATAAATCTACAAAAAATGCAGCAAAGATATTAGCTGTTTGGTGTGTATTAGTTTCATCCAATTGTAGGTTTTATATTTCTTTGCCTTTTTTATTACACAGATTTAGCAAGTGAAACAAATAGACCAGCTTCCATTCCAATAGCTGCAGGGTCAACACCTCTTAAAAGCACTTATGTTAATACACCAGAAACTGTTGCTACTGATGTTTACAGTGGTGAATTAGAAGAAGAGACGAAAACAGAATCAGTCACTGGTGAAGTTGTGTCGGCAGCAACACCTCCGCTGATGTTGAATTCAAGCGAAACATTGCAGGAAGTTAAGCTGCCACCTCCATTGGGTTACCTCACAGACCCAAATATCAGTACAATTGAAGGTAAGTTACTTGTCCTTTGATTTTATTTGCTGCTTTGGAGTCTCCAAAAATAAGATATGTATATTTATTCCTAATTATATAAATGTAAAGCATTTAACCATCCCATTACTACACTGTTTACATTCATCAATAAAATTTTATTTTATTTTCTCCTCCATCTGAGTGTTTTTGGCAAAACTATTTGCTAAAATAAGACAACAACTTTTGTATTGATATTTAAAAATATAAATTCGCGAAAAACAAGGTCTTAAAAAAGTCTTGCCTATTAAGCAGTATACAAAACCAATAATTCTAGTATTATATTCAAGCATGCTGTAATTAAAGACAGATTAATTAATGTTCTGTTTACCATGAGTGTTTTTTTTTTTTTCTGTTCGTTCTGCATTTTAGATTTACAAGCTCGTTTTACAATCTGGGACATAGAAAACCATGGCTCTGTGAAATTTCAAGATTTTGCAAACTTTATGGGATCAAACTTTAGTGGGACTGCCCAACTAGAACAGTTTGACCATGATCGGGACTCTCGTCTGAGTTTTCAAGAACTCGCAGAAGCTTATGGTTTCCCTGATCCATCGGATGATGTGCATAATCGAAGGAGAATTCAAGAGGGTTCAGCCTCATCAGATGCCGCAAGTGGCGTATAGGCTTTAGATGACTAAAGCAAGAAAACAAAAACAGTTTAACAGTAACTCGCTTTATTTGAAAACTAACTACCTAAGTAATGAGTTGAGCCATAAAGGTCAAATGAAATTGGTAAAACATGCACAATTTTAGTCACTTTTAGACTAGTTTAAGTGACATGAAATTAGCCCTTGTGTACTAGCACAAATGTGTACTTGATTTATGTCAATCTTAAACTAGCTTTAAAAGTACTAAAATCTCACGGTTTTAGGCAGGTATTGAAAGTTTCGGTATTGTTAATATTGTACCATTCTTTGATTAGTAATGCAAGTGGTTTTATCAGCTTTATATTCTCCAGTTTGTCAATTAACATGTCATTACTGTATGTGCTTTGACAAGAGTTGCCAAATCCTGTCTTGTATTGAGTAATTGATTGATTGACATATTGTCAACCACTACTCATTAAATTAAATAGCAGTTTTTTTATAATTATTTATAATATTGAATTTTGTACGAGGTAAATTAAAAAGCAAGGGATGATGCTTAATGGATGACATTAAGTTTAAAAATCAATCCATGATAACCTTTTTTTAGAATGTCATTCCTAGCAAATTCTCATCAAAGTGAAGGACTATACTCTGTGTAGGTCTATAAACCATTAATCTCAAAATCAGGCATCGGGTAAAAATTCTATTTTTGAGAAAGTAGCTTGGTGGTGCAGAATTTGAACCCAGGATGGGAATATTCAAAATAAAGTGTAGACCTAATGTTTTTCATCATATAAGGCTTGCCATTCTAAAACCAGCTTACTGTCGCTAATTGTTAAACTTAGTAATTTGCATAGGAATGTGCCAGTATTGATTACTTTAGTACAGAGAAACCATTAATAATCTGGCAGTAGTAAGACAATTCAGTAAATAACCCATCATTTTAAAGTTTATATTGTGGAGAATGAGGACTTATGAAAAAGTCAATTTTCATTTTTATGGTCACTGATACTGGTTTGGGGATGACAAGCCTCATATATGACAAGTGGTCACAACTATTTAATATTAAATTCTTAAAAGCTATAAAGTAGGAAGTGGTTCACATTGAACGACTTTGCTGGTCAGCGTGTGGTTTGAACTCCCAACCACAAGGCTGGAACCTGTATGGGAACCGCTACACCAAAGCGCCATTCTAAAGCTTCTTAACTAGCTACAACTCGCTTTTATCAAAGATAAATTCAACTATGTTTACTTTACAGTGTATATAGAGAGCTTTATGGTGCGATCATGCCATTTGGGTTTTCATAAACCCGTATTATGGTCTTATAAGCTTTACCATTAGTTATTGTCCATGTTTATAATCTAAATTTATCAACAATGCTTATATAAATCTATGGAAATTGCCTTTTCCTCCAAAGTAGTTTAGTATGTTTTAAGGTTGAACAAAATAGCATATAAGTGATAATTAATGAAAAATACTGTACACTAAAAAGGCTATTTTGATTCCTTGGGAAAACAAAAATGCTTTCTTAGTGAAATTGTTGCCGAGTACAGATATATGTATCACCTTTTCTAGAGGGCGCTATTCAAGAATTTGTTATAACTTTATTATTGATGAAGGATAGCTGGCATCGTGGACTGGCCACCTGTTGAATGTCTTTCAGCATTTCACATAGAGTTGCTCTAAGTCTTTTTTAAATTGTACATTGCCACCAGCGGCTAAAGCAAGGATGCTTGGACTGAAAATCACGAAAAAGAAAAAAAAAAAAAACATTGTCCATTAATCAATAAAACAAAGTTTACTTTGCTCGACGGTGGTGTTTTTTGGACTGTTCTTAATTATAATTAGAAATAACAGCCTGGAACCTAGGATATATTTTGCACAACTAGAAAGGTTTTCGGGAAATGAATTGAACTCAAGCTCGTTTCGGACACCTGCTTGTGTTACTTACCTGGATTAAGTAATTGTCATGGTTGCTTAATTAGAAGACTTCTTAAAAATAATATAACCATCTGTTCCAGAGGAATATGTATCCATGCTTCTTTAAAGGTGTTTATGAGGATGCACACAAGTTGTTTAGCATATTTATTCCTTGGATGGACAGTTCTATTATTTTTTAGGGGTGTTCTAGTTATGGAGCAATGACTATAGTCAGTTAGACACTGCTAATTTTTGTAGTTATATACATTATTTGGTTGCAGATCAAATGCATTGGAGTTTTCTACAAGTCTTAATAATTATGTTGTTGATATAGTAGTTGTCTAATAAAAAAAAAAACTTCAATGCTAACACCCCATAATTCAGGGTACTGCTTGAGAAATATTGTACATTATGTCCTAACTTAGTAATAGTACTACATATGATTATGTATTATAGATTTTTCCCCGCAAAACATTCTTATATTTTATGTGATATTAGTATATAATTCCTTTAATTATTTTAACAATAAAAATATTAGTACTGTATCTGTTTATTAAATCCATCCAACTTGCTAAACAAATCTATGCACAATTAGTGTATCTGGGTAGGTAGAACAGTGGGACAAGAATCTAAATTATTTAATGTTACAGAATATTATACCAAAACCTATTAACAATCTTCAACATGGCAGCATATTTTCCCCGCTGGGATTATGAAAAAACTTGATAATATAATTTAAGTGTATTAGTAAACAAATTACGTATTGAAACTGCTATTTTACATATGTACATTTGTTTTGAATTTTATCAGTAAGCAATAAAATGTTCATAAAAGTTTTAAGAGAAACCTGAGGCTGTGTTATTTAGTTGTAAACTACAGTACAAGAAACAAGTTAGTAAAACTGATGAATACTAAAAAAGTATTTAGGGCTGCAAGTTTTAAAATTTAAAAGCTTCTCCTAAACTTTATCCAAACTTGTGTTTCAAAGTGATGAGCCATTGCACTTCTATGAACAGCATGGAAGTTTGTGGCTAGATAACAAGAAAGTTGAAATATAAGTGTTGCGTTCAAAGGCGCTATTATCAGTACTTACCAGCAATTCATAGCAAGAAAATGACCAAAGAAAGTGTTGAGCGATCGCTTCACGCTATTCAAACCATCATTTTAAGCATTTCATAATAACACAACCACAGCAGTCGTTTTTCTTTTACGCTACTTAAATTCTACGTAGTCATAATTATAGCATAGCTAATAAATCAACCATACCCAAGTTCTTGCCCAGTAAAAGTTATTGCATAATGTGCCTAGGGTTGTTTCAGTCAAATTATTCATTGAATTTTTTTTTCTCGTGTGGTCCAGACTACATGCCGCCTATTAAGAACCAGGTCAGATATAAGCCCACTTTCAACCTTACGATCCATACGTAATACAAAATGAAAATGTAAAATAACTGTTTCGATTTTAATAATTTATTATTCTTTTTCAATTACAAGTTTGCTATTATTAGTGAGGCGTTCCCTGTCTGAAGCTTATGCTACTCTTGCCAATCGTGTTTATGTTCCACCCCAACACTCACTTGATCTCACTAGTACAAGACTGCTGTTTGCACTTGATCTTACCATTACAAAAATCATTGTGAGGCACTTTGTGATGTTTTGAAACAACCCAGCTTTGATGTACTGTACTAGTTACTAATATGATAAAGCTTAAGCTTATCAGAAACAGGATTTCCCTCATACTATCGTGATATTTTCTGCTGGCAAGAAAACAGGTTTTAAAATCAATTGATGCACAGAACTGTTCTTGTGTGTTGTGTGCCCATAAGAATTCAGCTAATTTACATACAGTCTCTTGTGTTACATGTTGTAAATTGAAAAACCCTCCAATAGTCAGCGAAAGTTAATCATATAGATGTATATGTAGAACCGATTTTGAGCAAAACACCCTTTAATAGACCAAAAATTTACCATTTGCAAGTTAGCCTCCACAAAATTCCTTCCCCTTGACTGCACAGTGGTGCCTTCGCACCCTTGGTATAGAAATTTGGGAGCCCCCTGGAGTAAAACCCCTGGGGTGGTCAAGGGGAGCTATTTCATGGTTTAGGATAGTATAAAATGTGACAATGTTAGGGACTGCAACCACAATAACTTTGTTGGATGAGCAAATTAACTCCAACCTACCAAGTGGTGGGTGGAAACTTACCTTGACCTTAGTACCACCACTGGATTAGAGCCTAACATTTCAACAGAACCTTATAATGTAGCAATATAATGCACTTAATTTTTAATAGTCTCTGTACCACATTTTCTTTGATATTACCAAACACCCCATTAGTAATAAATACATTTTATTTAATGAGGCACTCTATATTAGATGGATATCCACGGCTCAACTGAGTGCTGGCCTGATGATGGTTACTGGATATTTAACATAAGCGTACACATTAAATTTTTGACAATATCAAATGGAATCGCTGAAACAATTGTAACTTTTTTTATTTTATTTTTAGGTGTGAATGTCGCACCTGTCACTTAATTATCAAGCCCCACCATTAAACCTTTGTTCTCCCATTAGCCCCATCCAAATTTTAGCTTTAAGGCAGGCTCAGGTTGACACAGACCTGAAAGGAAAGGAACTCAACTCGTCGACATGAGCGCTCCGCGCAACTGAAAGGAACTGAACGCAACTAAACTCATGTCGACTTTGAGCAACTGAAAGGAACTGAATGCAACTGAAAGGAACTTGGCTCATGTCGACTGGCAACTGAAAGGAACTATTGGCTAAAAACATTTTCCCCGCGAAATCCCATCAACTGCAAAATGTCTGTAATGTTTTTATTAAGACATGTAATTATTTTTAAAAGTGTATCTACTTTATTTTTTTGTTTTGAAAATGTCGACCGGCAACTGAAACAAATGGTGCCTGTTTGATTTGTCGACAGAATTGAGTTTTTAAAGATTTCATTTTCTTCGAAATCTCATCAACTGCAAATAAATATTTGAATGCTTGTAAGATTAGACGTGTAGTTAAAAATAATAAAATTATTTTTGAAGTTTATCTACACTTTTTTTTTTATTTAGAAAAGTGTATCGCATATTGGTCTATTTGAAATGGGTTCATGCAAAATCTGGTGGAACAATTAAAACAAGAAAGGCCTTTTTCTATATGAAAAAACAAAAACAAAAACAACAAGTATACACAAATGCATTTTATATGTGACAATGTTTACATGAATCAGCTGTCAAATATGTTAAAAAAATGTATTAATTTAATATTACGCGAATGCAGCAGCATACTTTTGATAGAATTCATAATTTAACACTACACTGCAGAGGGACTTTCTGTAAAAGGAATTTAGCTTTTCTTGACCTAGGCCTAAGCCTAGGCCCTAGATAAATGTTCTACTGTTAAAGAATTTGTACAAAACTAACTTCAAAAACAATGCACACTCCCAAGAATTACTGGATTATTTATAGTTCGTAAAAATGGATTTTTGAAGCGAGATCTGCATGCCAGTTAGTTGTCAAGTCTTTACTTGTCGTACATAGAGTTACACGTAGGCTAGTAGGCCTGGCATAGGAAGACTGCCTTTTTTCTACACTCTAGGCCTAGCCTAGGCTAGCTAGAATATGGTAAGTATATGCTGTATTATTATTATTAGGCCTAGCCTAGGCCTATTTGTTAATGTTAGAATAAAAATCTGGCCTATGGCCTATATTTTTTAAAACACAGAATAAAGTAATCTGCCATTAACAAAACATTGTAATATATCTTTTTTCAGTTAATGCATCTTGATTACGATTAATATCAGGATCAACGTTTTGAGTTCCGAATCAACATTTTTTTCGCGCTTTTTCCAGTTCCTTTCAGTTCCGCAAAAAGTTGAACATGGGCAACTGAAAGGAACTCGACTCAACTTGACTCATGTCGACAAATATGCGCGACTGTCAGTTCCTTTCAGTTGCGGTCAGTTCCGTTCAGTTCCTTTCAGTTGCGCGGAGCACTCATGTGGACGAGTTGAGTTGAGTTCAGTGTCGACCTGAGCCTGCCTTTACAACCTAGTAGCTCTGTCTAGGTGCTACTTACAAAGTATCCAAATCCAATAACCATAAGCCTTAACAAATGTGGCAAAGACAAGCCAACCCTGTCACTCCTTGCAAAAATCAATTTTTAGTTATTAATAAAGGGTTAAACAGTAAAATGAGGAGAGCTATAAAATGGTAAAAAGAAATCCAAAATTTTGTAATCAAGTTACATACAGCTGTTTATAGAACAATATTTGAGAAATCAGCCTTCAAAGTTTACAATTTTGAGCATTTCTCAGGCAGAAACCGTTTACCAAATTGTTAAAAATTGTTGTTTTAACATTGAAAATGAAGAAAATATAAATATAGTATGATGTACAGATTATAAAGGTTAGTTTAGTGCAATGAAATAGAATTCAAAAATGTTGACAATCCAGCATGTTTTGGCCATTATCTCTGAAACAGTTTTGTGATGAGTGACTGGTTTAGCTTGTCTTTGCCACAAATGGAGTTCTTGTTTTAGAGAAACTGTGTCACCCAAAGTGTGTGTGGTGAATTTTTGAACTTTACCAAACTATGATCATGTAATTAAATACCGTTTGAAGGAAGAATATTGCACATAAAAAGTCACAGTTTCAGGTTAATGTTCACCGAAATATCCAGTAATAGTCACATGGCAATCATTGACCAATGAAGTGGCTGACAATTCAGACGACAGAAGAAAGCACCAAATTAGCTAGTCTAGTTATAAGTGATGAACTTTAAGTAGGAAAAATGGTTACTATGGAAATACCTTAGCGATCAAACAGCTGCTATCCCTAACAGGTCAGCTGGTTACTATGGAATGCCTAAAATATCAATAACAACTGAAAAATTTGCATTTCAAATACCAGAAGGTAAAATAAAGAATTAATTAAATTTTTACAAGATTTTAACACTATACAAGTTAATGAATGATCCATATTATTCCAGAGAATCACCATTGCTGACTAAAAGAAAAACATAATTCTACATTTATAATGAATTGTCTATGAAGTTTATAATAAATTAACAAATGAATTTGAAAATAATTGTATCAAAACCACCTTTTCCCAACAAATGTGCATCTGAAATAAACTGAACTTGAAAATTGCCAAAAACAAATAACCCCTAGTTTCCTTAATTTAATGCTTTACATTATTTTCAGGCCAAAATTTTCTTTCGATATTTACAAGTATTTTCTTAGATACATTGTCACACAACACTCATTTTTCTCATGCTCACAGCACATTCTAGCTTATCTAATCATGTGGTGAACATCAATGGTACATTCTACTTGGCCTACATGAATGATTCTTTGAATGCGTTGAATGAAATCTCCAAATAACATCAAGGTGACGTTCTACAGGTAATTAGCTACAGGTAGATCTTCCGTAGCTGTGCAGGTGCTGTGATCATATTGCACTGGGGACATAACTTCTTTGCTCCCTGTGAAGCACAAAAATTAAACCAATCAATCAATCAATCAATTAATTTATCAAATAAACATTTATTTCTACCAAATGATGAATGAGATTTAAGGTAACGTATTATTATGTACATGATATAACTTGGTGGTTAAGAAGATCGCTTTCTAATTGCAAGTTCCTCTCAGGGGTGGATCCAGAGTAAAATCTGGGTAGGGAGCCATATGACATGTTCCCCTTATTTCTCCTTCCTTCCCTTTTCTTGGGGGCTGTAGCCCCATTTCTCCCAACCTCTGAACCCACCCTTGTACCCCTCATGGATTTGCCCTTGCCCCTGGGGTTCCAATCCTGTCAAAAACAGCATCCTGATACTGAACATATATAAACACTGTAGTTCCTCTGGTATATACGACAAGGAAAGACAAATCATCAGATTTGTAAGAAGAAAGCATGTATACACTATAAGACAGAGTTTGATCAAACATAGTTTGACCTGACAGGAATGAAGGTGAGGGACACCACTTGAATATTTCTCTTTATTTACTGTATATAGATGAAAACACCAGCTTGCAATCCACTGTAGCTGCTATATAACCTTGACTGTTCTATTATGCATATCCACACTAAATGTTTAATTTGCATATTTATACATACTACCGTTGGGCCAGGTGTTTGTGTTCTTTGAATTAAAACAAACACCAGCTGCCTCAATTCTGAATACATATAGTTTATCATAATTATATATTATATTATGATTATATTCCATTACTTGTGAGTTAATTGGATTAGAATAGGCTTCTTTGTGTATGTATATTTGCATGTTGTTTACAGACTAAAAAGCAGTGGTGATCTAGGAGTATTGACATGAGGGAGCTGATGGGGGTGCAAAGATTAAGTGGGGGGGTACGTGCAAAGACACAATTTCCCCCCTCCTTTATTCCTCATAAATGCCCTATGTGTTTACAGTATAACAGCATACATGTTGAATGTTGAAATTTAACAACATCAAACATGTAGCTATTTGGATGCAAGGAGTTACAAAAAAAAACTTACTAAAGTTCTTAACCAGCATTCCTGACAGTGAACATGCCAACACTGGACAGACACCAGAGGGGTTGTGTAACCCTCCTAAACAACAGAGAATGATTTGCTTAATTTCAATATGTAGTTACTTTTTAAATTCATTTTTTGAATTGGTATTAGAAGATCATTAAAACACACTACTAACCAATACCACCACTACATCATCATCATCATATCATCATCACTGATTACAAAGACTTAAAATTCAAAATAATGAACATATGCGATGATAATGCTATCAACATTATCATTGACTTGACATCTACTAAACAACATCGCAACATACATCATCATCATCAACAATGTCAACATCATCATCATCATTGTAGGTGTCATAGAAACTGTACCTCAATCACAATGTGAATGAAAATAAAGTGCATCTGTATCCAATGCTTTCAATATCATTATCACCATCATCAATATCAACACTATGATCATGAATCCCAATACATTGACAGTGATTGTGACATTATCACTGACAATGTCAAAATAATAATCTTAAGCCTGGTTCTCACGAGAGCCCTAGTATCTGGATCGGGAGCTAACCGCTAGCACCTGCGTGAGAACGCCCGATCGGTTAGCGCTAACCGTTAGCGGTATCTGGATATGCTAACGGTTAGCAAGCGCTATCGATTAGCAAGTTGAGGGCGTTTCTATCATCAACCAATCACACGTACGCGTTTACAATTTCCAGTTTCTTATTGGCCAGTGATTCGATCATCATATTGTTGGTATCCGGATCGGGATTTTCTCGCATGGACAAAATGTTAAAAAATAATTTTAATAAAGTTGTCTGTCAGAGGTATGCACTTATGTGTTCCTCCTAGGTATTAAGCACAGAAATCATCATAATGTTAGCCTATGCTCAAACCTCACCCCTCCACCACACTATGTACCATATATTAAACATTCCAAATATATTATGAAACTGATTTTAAATTAAAAAAAAAAATAATTAGCCACAAAAAAAATTGTCTATATATCCCAAAAATAATATTTTTAACATATCTATGACAAGCCTCTTTATAAGGCTTGGGCTTGACTTTGGTTGTGAGAAAAATCCTGGATTTTTTTTTGACAGGATTGACAAACCCAATTAAAAGGCAAACACTTAACCACTAAGTCACAGCTTTCTATCTAAATAGATTAGTATAGTCCACAAAACCAACTTAAAGAGTTGAACTAAATTATTTTGAAAGGAAAATTTGGTGGGAATTCTACCACCTGTGAAAATTTATGAATGAAGGGAAGTAAGGTCTGTGTTTTTTTTTCTATTCTAATTCTTACAATTCTAAGTATTGTTTAAATATCAAATTTTAATGGTCACCAAATGCATGTTCAGAATACTGATGAAATTCACTTTCGATAAAAAACTACACCATATTTTTACAAGGCGTGTATTAAATTTGAAGTTGGATTGAACAGTTGGTATTAGCATCAGGGTTTAAGAGCAAATAAAAGGTTTACTTTTATTTATGTACATACAGTAGTTATTATTTGCAGTGGACTGCATGTGAAATGAGAATCAAATATACAATTTTTTTCTCATGGTATATTATGCTGAATTTATTAACAAAGAAATAACTAATACATTTCTTTTCAAAATATGCAGAATAATTTTAAATGCAATTAAATTTATTCCAGTGCATCATACTAATAATTTCCCCTTCTGGTAGTAAATGAATACAATGTTTTATTAAAATTATATGCAATTTATCCTTCTGTAATATAGTCAACTGGTAAGAATAGCCACTTTATACATTGATATATTATACTTTTTTAGCTCCGATGAGGAGCTCCAGGAATACAGTACTCAACTAATTGATTAATAGACTTTTTCTTTTTTATATGGGCGGCCATTAGAGCCAATATAATCTACTACCTCTATGTATTAATAGATTATTTTTGTATGGGCGGCCATTAGGGCCAATATACTCTACTGCATGCCTCTACTAATAGATTCTTTTTTTTTGTATGGGTGGCATTTAAGGCCAATATACTCTACTGCTTCTGTGCCTCTATTATTAATAGATTTTATTTTTTGTAAGGGTGGCGGTAGGGCCAATATATTCTACTGCCTCTATGCTTCTATTAATAGATTTTCTTAATTGGCAGCCGTTAGGGCATACTCTACTGCCTCTATTATACGGCCATCATCCAAACATTCGAGATTACGAGAACTTGTTTTCAAAAGAAATTTTGGTGTACAGAAATATTTCAGTTTTTACTTGCCTACCTTCAAATGCAAGTTTGGATGGTTCCTAAGGAATAGTGTGAAGGTTTTATTTCAGAGGCTTGAGTGCATCAAAGTCACTGCAGGTTTCTAAAGCTCTGTCCAGACTTGACAAAAAAAAAACTATTGTATGACCATATTTAGTCATGACGTGCCTATATATGGTCATGATGTGATGCCATCATGACCATATTTAGGCATGTCACATGTTTTTGTCAAATAAAATTTGATAGTTTGGACAGAGCTTAACACATTTCCTTTGATCAGAAAATGTTGTATGCCCATATATAGTCATGGTGTACCTATATATGGTCATGATGTGATGTTATCATGACCATATTTAGGCAAATATTGATTGTCAAATAAAATTTGATAGTCTACATAAGGCTTTATAACTCTATGGATATTAACTCATACTTATCTATGTGTTTATAGAGATCTTCTCCCAAATTGGTGATGATTGTACTGTACTTACGTTAGGAGGGCGCCTCGGATGGCTTGCCTCTGGCGTTCTTCCGAGGGCTCGTCTGATGAGCAGGGTATGATGTCAGCCTCTGTGAACTGTGGTTGTCCATACTCTGCCGTGTCGTCTCCATCTACGTTTAGGTTCATATCAACATCCTCTTCTGTATAGATTCTCCTTTGGAAACCAGTTCCTAAAAAAGGATAATCAGATCATAAATATATAATTATATAAAATCAATTATTTTGCAAATAAATTACAAAAACATAGCACGATTGGAATTATAAAAAAATATTCAGATTCGTTTAAATTTTATTTGTTCAATATGGAAATAATAGTGAGTACTACATCAAAATTGAAAAATATCCATATACACAATAAAATGAAAACAATTTATGAGAAAGAAGATTTAATAAACACAAGAAGAAATGTAGAGCCCTGAAAATAACTATTAAAATATATAATTTCTTCTTTTTACATCTTTGTAATAAGCATATAAATTGATTTAGTAAAACTTTGTACAGTATATAAATTGTAGGGCACATATTAAAAACATAATTTTTTTCCCTTCAGCATACTTTTTCAATTTATTGTCTATGAGAGCCAGCGGAATTAAAACTTATCAGCATTATGGTCAGAAACGGGAAAATGGCCCAAGAGAAATATGCACAGAGTTGAAATTATTCAACCAATTACGTCTTCATGAATACATTACAAAGTATAGTTATTTCAGCATCTATACATACGCTACAATTTCATATATAAAAATATACTTTTAAATCATTTTTTAACAAGACATACCAATACATATTTTTTTCATTCTTTCCATTTAAGGGACTTTAAATGTTCTCCTTTTGTATTCTTGAATGTTAACCTAGTTTATGCCTAAAAGAGGATCCAGTCAAAGCAAATATTTTATGCAAAACATACCAAATTTGTTTCAATTACGAAGTGGAACATTCAATGTGCCTTTTAGTATTTTAATTACAATTTTCTAGCCCACTAGAACTCTCAAGATGAATTATTACTAATTTGTATTTAACTGCATTCTAGATTAGACTTTGGTGAAATTTAATTTAATAAAAGATATATAATATTCAGTACTACATATCAAATTTTAAAATCACACCCCAAACAGCTCCCTCAATAGTTTCAGCCACATCAAGCACATTGGATATCACCCACAGCCAGAGATGAGTGCAAACATTTGTTAGTTAAAGATCTATCCAGTTTCTTTGTTTTACTAATTTAGGCTACAAATCTTAACACGACACGTCAAATTACATTAGCAACCCGATCATGTCAACTACATATACATCACTCTATTGCAGATTTAAAAAAACTGACCATCATAAATTTTGTAAATACAAATTGATTGGTTTAATCGTAGATTATGGTCATTAGGTAACACAAGGTAAGAATCATCAAATAACATCCAAGGCATTAGTCATTTTTATGTCTTATTGTTCAACAAATGTGTGAGCTTAAATGCAAATTGATTCCTAATTTTATGTTGAATTGTGTAAATTTAATTCTCTGGCCATCTTTAACAGCATCTGATGACTTGTCTTTTTTCTTGATTTGTTTTTATTTTATCTTTGTTGTACACTTTCTTGCATCTGAATTTCCTTTGATTTTTTTTCGTTTGAGTTTGATTAGTTCAAATGTCAAGCAAATGAAGATCATGCTTATTTATGCTATACAAGTTCATCTACTTACACTACTATTACTGCTAATGGCATTACTACTACTACTAGTACTAATTATCAATTTAGTTTGGATAGTATCCTTTATATGTCTTTTATTAACTTGCTTAAGTTAAAACTTAATTAGCATAATAATTAATACTGAAGAATGTATTTGACTGAATAACACTAACATGAAAGTAATAATATATATAGCATTAAAAAACAGTTTAGTATATGGAAAGCCCCTTTAAATTGCTGGTTTGTAATCATAACAATTAATATTAAAGAATATTGATCAGAATCAGAATCGGTAAAATAATCTAATTGTTGAGAGGGGCTGGGTTTGTGGAGAACAGTGGGAACAGCAACTTTTCAACCTTCAGGTCTGGGTTTTGAGTTACCACTCTGCACTCCGCCAAAGCACTTTATCCACATTGTTTCCCTCCATCTAGGAATGAGTAGGTACTTGTAGGATCCAATACCAAGTGCCGATACTAGCAGCTTATGGAATAGTATTCCCCAATTAGCTGAATTAGTTATTGAATCCAATGACTGGGGGGGGGGGGTAAATAATGTAAAACACATAGAGAGGCAGTTAACTGCTATGTACAGTATGGACTGTGTACTATGGAGCATTATTGTTATTACCATTTATTTTAACATTTTTCTCTGGTATTAGCAATTTATAACCAAGAAAAAGCAAGCTCCAATTATGTTAAAAGGTTAATAACCTTTAAGGTTGCTTTTTCTGGATTATAAAAATGCTAATGCTAACTGGGCAAGGTCACCACATCCATAAAATGGCATTTATGAGATATTTACTATTGTTGACATTAACTATTATTAAGCACAAAAGGTCACCAAATCACCATGAAAATGATTGTATAATGTTTCTAAATAGCTTTTAATTTGTGTACACAGCAGGTGTTTGATTTAATTAATATTAATAGGTAAATTGTATTACAATACGAATCATAAATGTTCAATTAAAATGCAATTATAATTACATCAATTGCTGTTAAAAAGTTAATGACAGTATTAATTTATACAACTAATAAATTAAATCTGAACGCTGGTAAAAAAAATTGAAAAGCAAAAAGGAAGGAACCAATAATCAGATGAAAAGAAGGAACAATAAAATAATGACAAGAAAAAGGCAAGAGAAAGGAAGTGAAAATAAAGAAAGAGAAATGAAAGGAATACAAGGGAGACAGAACAATGAAAATATTGAAACAGAAATTAAAAAAAAAAAAGAAGAGAATAAGAGGAAGGAGAAAAAAGATCAGTTAAAGAGGAAAAGTTGAAAAATAATAAAAGGATAATGGAAAAACAAGGGAAGGTAAAATAAAGACAAAAGAAGAAACTACAAGCAAATACAACAAAAATCAACTAGGTTAATCTCTTGAAATACATTTTTTTCTCTTAATTTTGCAATAAATTAAATAATAATTAACTTAAAATAAATAATGTTAATCATGTATTGGTGAACCGTTTGATGTTTAACTATAGTTTTTCAATAAATTAAATAATTAACTTAATTTTAAAAAATTATCACAATTGTCTTTTTTCCCTTGTATTTTTTTAAAAATTATTATTAATGGTATTTGTGATTGATTCTTGATGTTTGTACATTTCTGCTTTGTATATATATATATATATATTTTAAATATCTGAAAAATGTAAATTAAACTCCTGAGAGAAAGTTGCAATAAAGGTGATTTGAAAGATGGAAAAAATGCTAGTATCAGAAACAGGTGAATGGGGACGGCTCAAGGAAGGAAAAAATGGGAATAGATCAAATATGAAGTTTCTACAGCTTCTAATTTTTTTTTTAAAGCTTCACCCAGACTATGAAATTTTATTTAACAAAAACATGTGGCATGCCTAAATGTGATGTCATGATGACATCACATCATGACCATATATAGGCACATCATGACCATATATAGGCACATCATGACTATATATGGGCATAAAGCAGTTTTTTTGTCAAAGAAAATTTGATAAACTGGACAGAGCTTAAGTCAATACTGATGGGAATAATTGTAGGCCTACTGAACGCACTAAAAGATAATTTTAGACAATGAAATACCTTTGAAACCAGCTTGTAGCATTGTGGTAGCCCTGATTCTCGTCTGTCCACACCAAGTGTACTCCTCATATTCCTCCCCTTCAACATCAACTGCCATGTCTTCCCGAGTCGGAGAAATATGATGTTGCTGAAGATAAAATGTATACAAAAAATTAAATACATAAGCACAGACAATTACACTACAAGTCAGACAGGTCTCCTGTTCAATATGTAGCTTTTCTCTATTATGTGTTATCACAGCTTCAGAAATTAAGGCCTATTTCATACTGCTATCAATGATTGTACATAGAAATATGAAATAACTTTAGTATGAAAATAATAAATTTTCTTTATTAATATAACCTTCTTTAAAACCTAAAAACTAGCTGACCACCAGTGCTATGAAATGTTAGAAAAGATGATGTATTAATAAGTGAAGTTGGAACAATTTGGGATCACAAATAATACATAATTTTAGAATGGTTCTTTTAAAACTTGGCATTATTATTACTGTATAGGATTTTTAAAGACACATATTCAAAAAAAATTTGTTCAAGGTGCCTTTTTCCCCCTGGTCATTGGATACAGAATCAATCATACATAACATGCAACCTCCTCCACTCCCTAAGGAGTATTCCTAGTTCAACATCACTAATTTCATTCTGAATCATTCACTTCTTACATTAAACAGACAATATTCTTTTTTTTTTGTTTTACAAAAAAACATATAGAGCTTTCATACTCAAGCATTGCACTGCAATACATTTGTCACCAAATTTTGTAGCTTATTTCTGAGTACCGAAAACAATTACCATGTCCAATAATAAATTACTAAGGAGACCCACCGGACATTTTCCATGTTCCAAGATTTTTAAATTTAGATTTCACTTTCCTCACTGACTTTTAATGTGTTTACCAGACCTGTGTACTTTAAAAGTCGGTAATCTCCATGCCAAATTGTATAATCGTAAAAAATCAACATTGTGTAGCTTGTAAAGCAAGTTATTCAATGCACACTCTCCGCAAGCAAAGAACGTCTTGGACTAAATGTTATATACACATCGAGAATGGTTTATAAAAACATTTAACTGGACTGCAATTGGCTTAATAAATCTTCCTTTTCCATTTACAGATAAGAGACTTCCTAAGAGATTACCAGAGATCTTAAGACAAGGCCGAAAAACAAGTACTGAAGTCTTTAATGGATCATGCTTATCAGCCTTCCATGCAGTTACACAGCTAGTCGCGCTGATTACGAGAACACGACCAGCAAACAACTCCGCTACTTAAAACAAAGAAAAGCACTCATGATGAGGGCTGGTTTGCTGTAAAGTTATCAGCATCATTGCTTTCAATAAGCTAGTGAAGGTTGTTTACTGCGAGACTGATGGCATCTGCTGTGTACGATCTTTTCAGGAACGTACGGAAGCTGTTTGAATTTGTAACGGGATAGTAATCTCCAAGTAAATTACCGTGGTCCGTACTTGTATCGTTTACAGGAGTTGGGTAGATTTCCCAAAGATGTAGAATTTTGTTGTTCACTCACGTAACACGGTCTCTATCTGATGATTAATAGTTACATCCGTACAGTAAAAAAAAAACTAACACTCAGCTATTTACTTAATCATTTTACATAGCACAGCGAAGTCGTTAGTTTTAAATAACTAACGAAATGTAGTTAACAACTGTGAACTTTCATTTAAAAAAAGGACCATCAATCAACATTCCAAACATCATCTCCAAAGAATCATGGCTTTACTACAATATCTGTAATACTTTATAATTTCTGAGAAAGTTAACTTGAAATGCTATATAAACCTACTATTGTTAATATTTTAATTATCATTATCATTAATATTTCATACAGCCTTATTTGGGGGTTGGCTCACACCCCCACACATAGCAGAGAGTACATTTTTAAGTTTCCAATCTTAAAACACTTTCACTTGATGAGTTTGTGAAAAAATGAATAATGTTTAAAGATTTTAACAGCTTCAGTAAAAGATTTATATGGTTTTCAGAAAACTAATTCCAATTATTATTTTGATGAAACATCTTTAAAATTGTGCTAAAAATTATTAAAGAAGATCAGTTACTTGGCATCTTCGCTTGAATACTTGATGTTTTCTGTCAAGTTTCATAATCAAATATATTGAAGTTCGTTCGCTTCCGTCACTTAGGAAACAACTTTGGTAATAAGGCTAAGATTTAAAAATGCAATTAACTGGTACTAAAACTACATGACAAATATATTATGGATTCTATGTGAAAAATTCACAGAGTCAAATCACTTCTAGCTAAGATTCAAATACACTAATGAACATCTGTGAATGCAACGATCTTGGTAAAAAGGTCACCAGTAATGCGAATAATCTTTTTTCTCAAGTAAGGTTGTAAATATGAATGCAAGTTGTGATCTCTCGTTTTGCAACGAGTGAAACAAGTCCGCACTGAGATTCATTAGCTGTGAATAACGTGACTTTTTTGTTATCAATCTGCAAAAATAAATTACAATTTGCTGATCTTAAAAATGTAAAAAAACTTAAGTAAAAAGCAAGATTTCTGTCGTTTGCTGAAAGGGCGGTAAGACAGTAAATACTTTCGGAATTGTCAATGTGTGAGGACTAATGAAAATCACAATTATGTACTTAAATTTAACCTTTGTAGCAAAGTCCCAAGATCATTAAAGTATACAAGAATTAAATTTTCTCAAATCTCTCAAGAGAGTTATATACAATAGAAAAAAATACATTCTTACTTTAACAAAATAACAGATTCAAAAGAAATTTGTTTTCAAATAAGGATTTTTCTTAATGAATGAAATCAAGTTTATTTCAATTTAATAATTAAAACATGGAAAGGAAACAAACCATAATTTTTTATATTTGGAAAAATTTATTTCAATTTAATAATTAAAACACGAAAAGAAAACAAATTATAGTTTTTTTGGAAAAATTTACGAAAATTAGAATGCTTTGATTTGGATTTTTTTTTAAATGTGAAACACGCCAAGGAAAAATGATGATTTCTAGTGGGAGACAATCCATAATCTTTACCAAATAATGTGCTGCATTATAGCCGTACTGTACATAGGACCAACAACTTAACATCCCATCCAGAAGACGTTGCACTAAATTGTAACTTGCATTTCAGCAAAACACAAGGAAAGCAGAAAAAAAATCAGTAGATGTCAAAGGATCTCCATTAAAAATCATTCTGAACATAACCAATAGATTCAGTCTAAATGAATGAAATATATTTTGATCTATCAAATGAATAAATTACAATACCGAAAAAAAGAAATTACAAGCATATGTTTAAATGAAAGACAAAGAAATTTCAAAAACTAGAATTGTAAAAAGATATTTTGAACACATTGAATGATGAAAAAAATTAGAAAATTGAATCAATTAACCGCCATAAAAGTAAAGTACACTACCTTTCGTAAGCACACCTCTGCATGATGGTTTCGTTCCTCGGGAGAGCCCTCAAGTACTTCATCGCAAATTGGACAATGTGTAAGATCACCGCAATAATCTCCACTACGTCTTCCTCTGCGACTCCGCCCAACACGTGCTGCAATATACAATAAATAAATCAATAAATTACAATTTATATTTATGTTATTGTCAAGTTTTTGTGAAATATTTATACGACTTCTTCTTTGGTTATATATACTACAGTATGCCCCAGAACAAAGAAGATTTTTGTCCTTTTCCATGATTTTACTAAAGACATCTAACCTAATTTTCATTTCACTTATTTAATTATTCTACATCATATTTCATATTCTATTTTTCCAAGATTCAAGATTATTTATTGTCCAAAAAACAAAAATTCTGTTTGGGTGTAACCATTTCAATACATACAGATACAAAAATATATACAAACATCGAAAATATAACAAAAATAGTAAAAAGTAACCAATTAAAAATAAATGCAGTTAATAAATATAATTAATTAAAATAGACAAGTGATAAAATTAATTTAGCCATTTGAGTTGTAGTATATTATTGCCAAAGGGATGAATGAGTCGAGAAATCAACAATTTTTTCTTATTTAATATAGGCAATCAGTTTTTTTGAGCCAGTCAGTTATTCCTAGTATAATAGCAGTCTGTCTGAGAACAAGCTGTACAGAAGTAGTTTAAAACTTTAATTTAAGATTTTTTTTAAATGAGCGGATTGAGTACTTTTTTACTTTAACGCATGTAAAAATCCCTTAAATCGCTATGCAACGACATCCGACATGTGATGGCAAGATCAAGGCAGTAGGTGCCGTATGTCCTGACATGTCAAAACTGATTAAAATACAACGTTTTTTTGTTCTTTTTTCTGAAATCTATATTGTTTTGGCCTTATGACGTGAGCTTAACACATTTGCCGTACTAATTGGTTTTGGAGACAACAGCCAGTTTCACACCTGCTCGCGAATAAATCAAACATGCCAACAACTCCGTTTTCCTCGTGAATTTTAAGAAGTTTGGGAAAAAATGAGAGCCCTCACTCTCATTTCTCCCTTCTTAGTGGGATTCCTAAAGGCTTATGATGGGTTTGTTGAAGATTTTCTAAACTTGACTAAGGTTAACCTGAAGAGGATCGAAATTTTTTTTTGATTGATGCAACCTTTTGGCAATTTAGAGAAAACATATATTTATTTATGGTGTTGAGCATATGAATGCAAAAAACACATTTTAAGATATGGAAAGAGAAAGTTGTTACATTAAAAAATATAAGCCTAGACATTTAAAAATTTAAACATTTAAAGTAGATACAGTTACAGAAAAACATTATTTCTTTCAGTTTAATATTGAACTATGTATAATTAAAATACTAAAAAATATCTACATATTACATGTGCAAATAAATTTGATTTGGCACAGTATAAAGCCAAAAATGAGGCCGGTCTGTAAGGAAATGAAATCAATTCAGAAATAATAACGGATGATTGCTGACAGGAACGAAAAACAGGAGAAGCGTACATGACAACATGCCGTGAATGCAAGATAAATCTTGTGCAGAATCGTGCAACATTAATCAGTAATTAAGTCCTTATTGATAAAACAAACTTATCTTAAATCCATAATGTATCATTAGTATGATGGAATACCATGATAATTGCTTCAACAATACTAAATTATCTGCTAATACGGGTACCAGTCATTCCCGCTTAATTTATGATTCGTTTTTTCTGTTCTTTCAGGTTTCATTGGTCAGTTGTTAATAGATTCTTGTATGTTTAGATGAGCGATCAGTTAATGTTCTTCACTGTAATCCCTACTTTTTATTTTTGGTAACAATATTTCAAAATCGACTGGACTTCACAAAAGATAAAGCTATCAGAGAGTTGAAAGGTCAATGCTCTTGAGGGAAATGAAGTAAATACTTTATCACTTTTTTATATTTTAAGATATTCTTCTTATGACATTTAGGGTGTAGTAACTAAAAAGTCTAGACAGTTAGTTTCCATATAAATTAACAGTTCTTGTAATAATTCTCTTATATTTTACATGGTGAACCACAAACATTAACCATGTTATGCAAAAAATCTAAGGCTTAAAGAGCACGGAAGAAATGACTAGAACATAATGTGAATACAGAAGAAAGTAAGGCCTAAGAACAGGATATGAGTATAAGAGAGGACTAGCCAATAGGCTTTGAGAACAAAACAGCAAAAGAACAAAAAAAGATGTCTTACCATTAAGCCGTGATTGCCTGTTTGATTTGATTTTCAAGTAAGTTTCAAAACGGGTCTCTGGATTATCGGATGACGACGGATTATCTTTGTTTCTCCTAGACGATGGGCCCTGCGATCCCTGTAATGCACAAATTAATATAGTAAAACGCAAACTTTAAATGCTGCAAGGGTCCCAAATGATCGATAATCCCAGACTGAGATCATCATAAATATAATTACACATTAGTTTGGGCACATAGTACGGTATTACTACAGTACATAAGAGATATCATGTCTACAAATTACCTTTGAGATGTTTTGGATTGACCATCATCAGATATCAGCATGATGAATTTCATTCAGAAGGCTATTATATTCTGAATGATCAGATGTTTGTGAGCCACAAAACTTGAAATTCAATATCTGGATTGCTTTCCCTTTGAATCAGTATTCAATTGAAAATAAGAACAACAAAATATTCTACTTGGCTATCAAGAAATGCCTGACACTGTTCCTATATACTTCAACTGGTTCTATCTGTGTCTTAAGTCATGTTTACATTTCATTAATTTTGGTCAAACTAACCATGTACCTGGTCACTTTGACTGGAAACGTCCTGTGGGAACAGCTGGCACAGTATAACAATCTCCTTGGTTAAGTTAACCAAGAAGTGCAGCAAGTTTAACTGAGTGAACGTTACCCAGGAAGCATGAGCACCCCGTCTTTCATGAGCAGAAAAGTCCAATGCCAACAGCGATACTTGGTTAAATTTCCCTGAGCACATGCTAATACCGTGTGCATTGCTGTACTTTCCCTAGAATGTACGTAACATTATACCGACCACGCATGCGCAAACTTTACTCAAGGGCGGATCCAGAGGGGGACCATATGGGCCCGTGCCCCGGTAAGTCAAGCCGAAAAATTTAAAAGAGGGAGAAAAATTTGAGTTAAAGAGAGGAAAGAGGAAAGGGAGTGCACCCATGTTCAGTGGTGATTCAGCAGTGGGCGAAAGCAGAACTCGATTGTTTACCACTTATTTTCACCAACCATGGTGGGCCTGAGGTGGGCGTGGTGGCGTGGACTTCATATTGTGCCCCACACCTGTCAGAAAATCTCTGGATCTGCCCCTGTTACTATCTTAAAACCTACTACATATATCTAAGTGTGAACAGCGGTACAATTTAACTACTGTAAGGTAAAGTCGCCCTTTGTCTTTGTAAAAATTAATCTAACACAAACCATGCTTCTTTAAAAGTTGGTTGATCCTTACATATGACCAATTTAATGTTTAATTGAATGTTTGAGGTTTTATTCCGATTTTATCGCAGACAATATATTAAAATGAAAATCACCATTTAATCCAACTGCAGAATGCCATGTTCCTTTTGTTGAACTTTAAACATTGCCCACTGGCAATTTTCATAAGGAAAAAAAAACAATTACAGAACTAAAATAGATGTTTTTTCAAAGAACAGCTCGGAGACTTTCCATTAAAAAGTCAACATTACACTAATTCCACGTTAAGGGTAGGATTACATGCTTTTATATTGTGATTATTGTAGGTAAGAAATACATATAAATAATAGCAGAAACCGAATCGAATGACATTATATATATGAGATTTCGTTCTTAGTAATCTTACAAAATCTGAATTTGAGGTGATATGATTACAAGGTAATTCCAACTTCTTCCTACCTTTCTGCTTCCAGAGCTGTCTCTTGAGCGTCTTCCAGACCTATAGTAAGTACAAGAAGTAGTTTGAAAGTTTATCTTTCCATTTCTCAAGTCTGGTCTAACTTATGTATAAATTTGAAGCTTGACATACATATTTTATGTATAACAATGATTAAAAGACGAACCAAGTAAATATATATTATACACTGTCAAAGTAACAGCATTTGTTTTTCGTATGACTAAAAACAACTTACTCCTTAGGCAAGACTTTTTTATTCCCTGTTTTGCGTACTTATTTTTTTAAAGATCATTGTAGGAGGGTGGAATAAAAATAAAAATAAAATTTTGTTTTCTTATTTAGCAAACAGTTTTGCCAAAAGCATCCAGACTGAGGAGAAAATAAAAATAAAATTTTATTGGTGAATGTAAAATAGGATGGTTAAATGCTTCAAATTTATATAATTAGGAAGAAATATACATATCTTATATTTGGAGATTTCAAGGCAGCAGAGGGCGTAATAAAAATAAAGAAAACTTTTACTTTCTTCTGAAAATTCCACATTTTCGTGGCGGCGGGTGTGCTAATTGGCCAAAAATAAAATTATTTTTATTCGAAATCATCATTATTTGCAGCCGGTGGGTTCGCTAAACAAGGTATAAATAAAGTCTTGCCTTATGCTTAAGATTATGTAGAGCATCTTATGAGTATGTTTGTCTTGCGTGATTAATAAAGTTTAAATACTGGCATTTATAATGTTGGATGAAATGAAATACACAATAACAAAAATAAATAAAAATATACAATTAACAATAAAAAAAATAAAGTATTCTAAAATAATAATACTGTAATTACTTAAAAAATATTTAAATGAATTGAAGATTCTATATATTTTTGTATCAGTTATGGACTAGATATTTGGCTATAATTCTGTAGATTTGTAGTTACTTTAAAATCATGTTTATATTAGGGGTCGTTCAACACTTTCACAAGTGTAGAACCAGTACGCAAGGGGGAGGGAGTAGACAAATTTGTACACTTTCACATATGCATAAAAATGTTGATTAAAAATAACATGCATTATGTAAAATAATGGTAAAATTATAATGTTACTATGGATATAATATTCATTTTTAAGAAACCAAGTACATTGCTTTAGTTGACTTTACAGAGAAATGAAGAATGGTTTTGCAAAATCAACATTTTTTTGTACACTTTCAGAGGGGAGGGAAGTGGTACCGAAAAAGAATACTGTTGGCACACTTGTGAAAATTATGATAATTGTTAACGACTCCTTACTGACATCATCCAGGTCATACACAAACCTTGTCATTTTATTGAGTCGTTCCACTTCTTGATTCAGATGAGACTGAAGTTCTCCCGCTCTAACTGTTACGCCACATACACTGCAACACATCTGCCCATCCAATAAATAACTACATTTCCTTTTCCCTGTGAAAGTATAATTAGTTTCAATAATTAAAATTATAATCAACACACTGTAAAACTAAAGTATAGTTTATTAAATATAAAATTTATTTTCATTAATGACCATTTTTTAAAAGTTCGATCTTTTTACATACAATATAATTATCATATTTATTTATATTAAAATCATATTTAAAACAAGAAAATATATGTAGGTTGTAGCAATCTAACAGTAAGGTATAATTAATTGGTAAATCAACAGGGGAGTCATTTTCGGAGCCTTATTTCACTCTTCTTCAGATGAGCAATAATTGTTTTCATTTTTACACACATTTGCTTACTTTCAGTATACCTTTGATATGTCTAAAACTGTGTAACAGTCCCTATATTTTATGTTGTCATTCATACATATGAATGTGCCATCACTGACATGGATGTTACAGTTACTATACAAAGATGAATTCTAAATAGACATGTCAAGAATTGATTGCAATCAATATCTGTTAAATTCACTTAAGATGGCACAACAGAAAAATGTGGAAACTACAAATTTCTAACTTTGTTCCAAGAAATCATTAAAGATAAAACAAAGACACTCCTTTGACACAAATAGCTAAAACTTGGAAAAATAAATCGACATTAAATGCAAATATAAAAGAGTGCTGTTGTCAGAGAAATGTGTTTAATGGGAGAATTATAATACTACACTTAGATACAAGTCAAAAGCAAGATCATTTCCAATCAGTAAAGTAAGTATTGTGTTCTAGTTCTCAACTAATACTTATTATCATTAACACCGCTTACAATTTCTCTTTTAATCCATAGCATTCTTTATATCGTCGGCTGGTATTTAGAATCCTGATTTACGGTGTATTTTAAGTGCTTGGGAATTAGTCAAGATAGAGTAAAGTAAGATGTATGATGTATAGGCATAATGGCGTACACCATAATCCAAAGTTGTGGTGGTATGAATTCAATTTCAAGCGGCTATATCAATTTGTAATCGGTAATGGTTTGCATGTAGGTGTATTACTAACGTTAGTACTTGACGCTGATAATCATAATTTAGATTATTAATAATCAGTTGTTATCTTGGTCTAATTGGACGAAGAGTGTTCTAAGCATCGAATTAGGATTGTATCAAGATAATACATACTCAATTCAATTGAGACAAACACCCTAATTGAGGGAAAATTACAGTTGGAAGATTGCCGTCGGAAAATTGCAGTAGAAAACCATGTGTTCAACATTTGGTAATGAATCAATTTACGCCAATAGCAAAATATTGAGACGTATACAAGATAAAAAGATACTGACTAGCATACTGTAGCAGTGGAACTAGTAAACATGTTCACTGCATGAATTATATTCATTCATTCATTCTCTTTTTATTTCGGAAATATATTCATATACTTACAATCACCGATTACAATAAGATGATTACAAAAAGAAAAGTAAAAATTAATACAGCAAAGTATATATAAAATGTAATAATTCAACGGCAAATAATTTGTGCAATACACTATTAATGATTTAAAAAAATTTTTTTTTAGTAAAGTAATTTATTATTGCTAAATTACAATAATAAACTTTAGTTATTTTGATTTTCGTTATTTGAATTAATTTTCTTTCTTGATACTTGCCATTTTATTGTCAGTTTGACGCAATTCAGTGTAAACCAAAATAAAATTAATCGTATCAGCAATGGTTAAAGTAGAAAGTACAACAAAATGATTACATAACAATTGTGAAATTCAAAGAATCATTAATGTTAATAGCTATCAATATAAAAAAGCAATTGAAAAAAATTATTGATTCTCAGCTGATCATTAGACTACAAAGTGAAATTGTTCTTACCATAACTGTAAAGCTAATTCTATTGATTTTAGTAACAATGAATCTTTATCTTGTCCACTCTGAAGTCGTTCTCTAAAGTTTGCTTGATTGAGATTTTTTTACTTTTGTCCTGTTTATGTTACTTTTTATCTAGCCTATACCATGAGTGGCTTTTAGCCTTGTATATGGTGATTTCCATTAAAAAAATAAAAATTTTAAGTAAAATTGTAAAATCTGCTAAACATTTTTAATAAAATTACTCAATGTGAAATCGTTTCTTTTATATAAGACAGTATTAAACAAACTCCAAAAAAAGAAATCGAGATTATGTAAGGAGCTTGCTATCACAAAACCAGCATCAGCAGTGACCAAAAAATAAAAATTGGCTCTTTCATATATTTTTTTTCTCAACATTATCATTTACTAGAATTGACTTACTATTGCCAAATTTACTGTACTCGTAACTTTGGCAATAGTAAGTCAATTACTAGAATTGACTTACTAATTGCCAAAGTTACGAGTAAAAGTATCACAGCTTCTTCTCAGTACTAAAATATACAATACTGATGCATTCAAATACTAAATACCCAGTTTAACATTTAGCGACAGTGCGCTGGTTTTGGGATGGCATGCCTCAATTATTTCAAACTTCATTCATTCGCCTCCTTTCATTAGATTATGCTGTGTGTGGAACGAGTGTTGATAAGAAAATCTAATTGCACAATTACTGAAACTAACAACATCATTTCTAGTAATTATAAGTGATAATGATCAATGATTACTTATAATGACTTATTTAGATAAATATGGTAGAGGACATAATGTAAGCAGGACAATATAGCAATGCACTAATTAATTATAAAGGATTTTAAATATTATGTGATTAATGGAATATAGTCTTAAAGTGTCATCCACCAGAAAAAAGAACCAGTAAAATTTGCTCAGAATCTGTGTTTTTATTTTTTTGCCAATTTCAGGCTCTAATGTTCGTATGCAGAGAACGTAGAACACCTGGTAGGATGTGCATGCATGAGTGATTCTGTTCTAGCGTCATGTCGTCGCACAAATTGAAAACTCCCTACTATTGTTTTGTGGGACCTTCAACAATATCCATGGGACAGGGCTATAGAAGAAAGGGCCTTTGTATCAAATATAAGTTTAATACTCTAATTAGTTTTAAAAGTTGGATACAAGTAATAAATGTATTTATTATTTGCTACTACCTAAAAAGTAATCTCCAACAGATGTTTATTGTTTTAGAAATAGCTCCACTGAATGCTTTCACCTGAAGACAGTAGTCTTCCTACAGTATGAAGAACTTTACATTTTTCAAGTTTTTTTTAACCTTTTTGCCCGATTGTCAATGGTTCCCAGCCAGGAGCAACTCATATTTGCTTAATGTATAGGCTGGTAAACACAATAATCTCATCTATTTTTAGAATCAGTTTCAGGCACAAAAAGGTTTAATAATGATCACAGATTGTCTTAATTATTCTTTGTTTTATAGTATTGCTACTGGCAGTAAATTTACAGTGTTGTAAAGAAATTGATTCAATTGTTTCCTCAGACCTTGTTTAAGTAGGTAATGATCTTGGACATAAAAAAGGGGATTTGACAATCAATTCTACTACAACATGATTAATTAAATTATACCCACAGCCTTTTATTTACACCAATCAGAAAATTATAACTTGCTAAATTTGATTTATCCATCAATGTATTGTGTTCTAATATCCGGTAAGTCTTTACTACCGACTTTATTAATTATAGAACTGTTTTCCATTAACATTTATAGATTTACTGTCTGTCACATATTTTTTCAATCCATAAAAATTCAATTTAAGACATTAATTTGCTCATTTAAAAATAAAATATCAACTTCTACTATCATTATTTTAATTGGTTTACACAAATTATATGAATTAAAAATCGTAATTATTAGTTACTGTGACAGAATGACATGAAAACGAGAAATGTAGTTGCCCGACAACAGATTTTAAGCTTTAAAAAAATTAATTATTAGCTTACTGGTTATGTATTTTTATTTAAAAAAATATCATAAATAACAATAATATAATTATAATAAATAGAAAAGTTAAACATTTAGAAGATAGATAATTCAACCCACATACAAAATTGTTACTTTGCGTGGTGTCTTTGCTGTGTGTGATTGTTTGCCTTATTGTCATTTGTTATTTTCCTTTCATGTTTGATGTTTGGGGCTACCAAATCGTGTATAGGAACTTATGTTCCTCCTTAGCTTCGCCCTTCTGTATTTGAGGAAATAAATACATACAGTATTATTACATTATTCACTGGTGTTAAAAACAAAAAATATTCTTATATAAATGAGATTATAAGTTAACTTGATGCATTTTATTATAAAATACAGTAGATAAATTTAGTGATATCGATTGCTTCCCTACCTGAACCTACACCTCGGTCTAAACAGTGGGAATTTTCTGCAGTTGTTTCACCTGTTTTATGGAACTTTATTCAACAAGAAAACACATCAATAATAACCCTTTTGAAAAGTAATTAACAGTCATACAAAAGCGTTCATTATGTGACAATACAGGCATAGATTCCCAATGCCCATTTTAATGATTGTTCTCTTTCAAAACCTGATCTCTGCAATTGTGTGCGTAACTTTGCGCATTGTTCCTAAGCTCAACGACCGTGAAATTTAATATATTCTTGACTTTGGATATTTCTCTTTGAAATCAATTTGTATAATTTGTGATTTTCAAGAAATTAATAAGAGATGCTGGCGCAATTAGATTCCGTAATCGCAGTCCTCCATTTCAATTTCATTGTCACAAATTGGATACGAAATATTGTTTGTTCCCGGAGGAGCTGGGAATGCAGAAGCAACTAGTAATCACATTGTTGCAATAACTCATCCTTCTTTTTAATTTCAATGCTAATATTTGTGCTAAAGGTTGAATATTCTTTCTTTGATTAACAATAATAGTCAATAACCACATACAAAGAAAAGAAAATTCCCCTTAGCATTAATTACCAAACTAATTACTATTACAATGACAGCAATTTAAACACAAATTAAAATGCATATTTATACATATGTATAGTCTGCAGACGGATCCGTTTCGGCCTTCCAGGCCTCATCAGTGCAGCTAGGGTATAGACCCAAACGAAACGTTCGACCAGCTTAGGTAGGGCCCAAA